ATCACTCCCCCCCCCACACACACACATATATATATGTAAATATTATACTTCTAAGCCTGAGTCTTTGCCTACCGGCGTCTGTGGTGAAGCGGTTAGACTCTAAGTCTTCACTGACGCAGGCAGGAGACCCGAGTTCGATTCACGAGCGGGAAGAAATGTTGTCAAGCACTTGTGTATCTTAATCTTTCTGCTGGGATGTTGTATCCCTCTCAGCCCGGGTTGGTCTTGACCTGCAGGGTCGAAAGCCCCCCCCCCCCCTTAAGTGGTCCGTCCGATTTGTGTCGATGGGAGCGTAAAAACACCTTTGGGTTTTTTTTAAAGAATCTTTGTCTGCTCCGACAAACAGAAAACACATTCACAAACATGATACGAGTACGCAAACAAATAAAAGGAAACTCACATTATGTCTGAACATTATCATACACAAGCCTACCCCTTTACCTTTTTATAAATTGATTTTCTTTTGCTCCAGGGAGGTTCTGCCAAGGGTGAAGCGTTGACTGCATATACAATGCTTGCTATGTTTGAGGCTAAAGAAGTGTTTACTGGCCCAGATGACACAAGGATGCAGAATGTGGTAAGACAGTCTGTTTTTCTTTCTTTTTCTTCTTTTTTTTTAAACCTTTTTTTAAAGTTTGGCTCCATGCTGATAAGAAAAAGTCCTTTTTCGGAGGCGGGGCGCTTAATGAAGTCTTGAGAGGAAACACTACGTTTGTACTGACCATAGATTAGAACTATCCTAGATCCTGCACTACTATAATATAGCCGCCGCTCTTCGTTGCTATTGGTACGCACAATGTCGGTCCAAGTGACGGTTAGCAAAATACCCGTCTCGATATAATCAAGTGCGCGCGGCTCCTTTCTCACTTTGACATTCATTTGGTTCTGAGTGAGTCGAATGATTCTCCTCATTGTGAAACGAAATAACGTCAGAATGGTTCTGTCTTGGATAATCACAATACAAACCAATAGTGCTAGCTCGATTTTCTATTCTTTCCTCGTTTTTCTTTTTGTCTGTTGATCTTCCTTTCGTCTGTCTATCCGTCTATTTATCAGTCTGTCTCTCTGTCTATATACATGTGTCTGTATGTCCGTCCATTTACTTGTCTTTTGATTTGTGTACCTATTAAGGAAGAATAAATAAAAAGTTGTATGTGTGTGAATTGAAAAGAAAGTGAACGAATCTGAGATCTAAACGAGATGGGGTGAGATAGAGAAAGGAGAGGGGGAGAGGGGGGGAGAGGGGGAGAGAGGGAGGGGAAGAGAATAGAGAGAGGAGAGAGAGGGGGAGGGAAATAACCACATCATCATCTCACAGTCTGTGCGATCTAACCCTACAGTGAACCCCAAAAAAGTTAAAGTATCTTATTGGTATGTTTTCCCCGTCAATGACTATTTTTTCCACGTCACCCCTCAGATTTCTGCGGCCTTGAGAAAAGGAAGTTCTTATCTAGAGGGGGAATTGCCGTATATCAGCGACCCTTATGACGCCTGTATCGTGGGCTATGCTCTCCATAAGCAGAACAGCGTAAAGAAAGACGAAGCCTTCAACTTGATCGAACGGCTGGCGACAACTGAAGGTATACCTTCTTTTTTTCTCCATCTATCTTCCGTCCATTTTTGTGTCGGTCTGTGTGAAATTCAGACAACTGCATTATGTTTGTTCAAAATAATGTATAAAAAAGTCTGGCAAAATGGTATCATTCAAAAGAAAGAAAAGAAAGAAAACAATAAAAAGACTTGCTTGAATTAACGTCATATTAATTCAAAATAAAGCAGACTCCGGCGAAATAGTGTCATTTTTGTTCAAAACCTAGTCAAAACTCTGGTAAACTGGTATCACATTCATTCAAAACATAGCAATAACTTCAGCGAAATAGCATCATGTTTGTTCAAAACAAAACCAGAACTGGCAAAATAGTATCATATTCATTCAAAACAAGGCGAAAACAGGCAGAATGGTTTCATATTCATTCAAAACAAAGTAAAAACTGGTGAACTGGTGTCGTATTCATTTAAAACAAAAGCAAAAACTGACAGACTAGTCTTGTATTCATTCGGAACAAAGCAAACTATGCTTATTCAAAACAAAGCAAAACTTCTGGCTAAATATCGTTGCGTTTCTTTCCGTAGATGGCACCAGGTACTGGAAGCGCCCGAACCCCGAACCAAAACATAGGTCCTACTGGTGGAGCCGAGGTGTGGATGCCATCAACATTGAAGCCACGGCATACTGCCTGCTCGTCTACTCCGAGCGGGGTATCGCCACTTCAGCTGGACTGCCCGTCATGCGATGGATCACCAATCAAAGAGGACCCAATGGAGGATTTATCTCCACTCAGGTTTGCTTTATTTTCTTGGAGACATTTGTTTTTGTATGATACGTTGGAATCAGGTGCTCGTCAATTTTTGAGCATGCTGAGTTATTGGTTCAATTGTCTTGTTTTTAATAAGGAATATACCAATCTATCTTGACAAGAAATCAGATATTTGCGATTGAAGATATTCGCTTGGTTTCAGGGGTAAAGTTAGCAAGAAAATGGCTACCAAAGTTTTGATGACTTCCATATGTTTGGAGTCCTTGAAAATCGAAAATTTACTATTTTTTTGTGCCTTTGATTGACGTTTTCTTTTTGTAAGATCCACAAAGAAATGTGTTTTTAATTGAACAAAAAGGTGTTGAGCATAAAATAAAAAATCCGATAGAATTTACCAGACGAGCGGGAAAATGCCTGTTTCTTCGATTTCTTCATTTTTATGAGCATTTGGTGTCACCACGATGACTCACAATTTGTTCTTTATGAAAGTGGTTGTTACGATGGCTAACAAAGACTGTTCTGCATGGCACAGTACACGGAGGTAGAAGGGGAGGAAGACAGAAGATGGAAGGATAATATGTCAGAATGAACAAGTCTGAAAATATTTTAGACTATGAGCAAGTCCAACAATCCCACCACTCGTAATTGAACAAGAAACAATTGAAATCACGGCTTCATACAAATATTTTGGTCTTACTATCGACAACAAATTTACATGTCAAAAGCATGTAAACAATATCGTTAAAAAGGTAAATCAGAGGCTGCACATTCTGAGGAAACTTAAGTCCTTCAATCTGATTCCATCCATTCTTCAGATATTTAACACCACCACAATAGAAACGTTGATAAATCTTGATATCTCTTGCTATGGTAGCAATTTGTGAAGACAGCACATCATAAAAATAAACAAGTTGATCGGAATGACATCAAGAACAATTGAAAGAAACCTAAGTAACTTTGAATGTCTGTACAAGACAAATTCTAAAAATGTTCTTTAAAAGGCGGACATAGTGCTAAGTGCCCAAGGCCACCCACTGACATCGGAATTTCAGTTATCAACCCGCAGTAAACGATATATTTCCAAAAAAGCAAGAACAAATATAGAAATTCATTTGTACCAACTGCAGCGATGTTACTAAACACACAGTACTACAATAAATGAAACAGAGAGAGAGAGAGAGAGAGAGAGAGAGAGAGAGAGAGAGAGAATGTTTTAACGAAGCGGGTTGTTCCAGCACGTGAGACATGTATTTACTAATGTCCTGTCTTGTTGTGCGTATGCGTGAGTACACCTAACCTTCGTAACATCCAATGCCATTGTAAACGACAAAGACAACTTTTTCCAGGTGAGATGAATGAAGATTATCATTGTCTTTGTCATTGTCAAAAAATAGGAAGGAATGGAATGAGATCAGTAGAAAATCATCTGTGGCGTCCCAATGGGCGACATGATGATGATGATGATGAATGATGATGATGATGATGATGATGATGATGATGATAATGAGCATTTGAGCATTTGGTGTCACCACGATGACTCACAATTTGTTGTTTATGAATGTGGTTGTTACGATGGCTAACAAAGACTGTTCTGCATGGCACAGTACACGGAGGTAGAAGGGGAGGAAGTCAGAAGATGGAAGGATGATGATGATGATGATGATGAAAGACAAACTAAACAGTCTACCGGGTACAACCCAACCTTCTTTATACAATGATGATGATGATGATGATGATGATGATGATGATGATGATGATGATGATGATGATGATGATGATGATGATGATGATGATGAAAGACAAACTAAACAGTCTACCGGGTACAACCCAACTGTGCGTAAGACCCTTACATTATAACAGCACAAATTCAGTGCGCTACATCACGGGTTCTTTTTACTATCTCTTCATAATATTCTTCTTCTATCAAATTAAAAAAAACTAATTTCCCAAAGAGCACCACGTCTTGATACAAAGTACAGCTATTCTTTTCCTTATTATGGCTCATTCACTTGAGTTTTTGATGAAGCTGTAAGGTACCTCACCGTCGCACACAAAAGATCCGAGTTCGATTCCCTTGATGAGGGGGGGGGGGGTTGTCGGTCTTTCTTCTAGGACGTTGCATCCTTCTCAGGCCGAGCTGGCAGGATCGAAGCACGCCTCCTAAATTATATAAATTGTGTCCGGGAAGGGAGAGGCGGGTTGCTGTTGAACGAGGATATGCGCTATGCAAATATTATTTCTTACTATTTATAGTAAAACACCTAAGGGGGGGGGCTTTCGTGGTTTAGAGGTATGGTGTTTGCTTCTTATTCAATAGGTCCCTGGTTCGAAACTTGACTGCCTTAGAGAATGAAATTCTCTGTAAAAATGTTCTCCTTTCACTTTTCCTGTTCTCTAATCATATTCAGTCGTCTGCTTTCATATCCACTTTCTTCCCCCCCCCCCTCCTCCTGTTAGCTCCTGACTCTTTCCGCCGCCACCCGAGCAAAATTTAAAATTCCTTCCAAACTGGAAATGTTTAATGCGTCGCGCTTGTTCATATAACCCTCTTAAGCAGTTGCGAGCGCCGTAAAACACTGACCAGAAGAGAGCATAAAACACCTACATTACATTATCATCACAGCGCTACTAATTCCCCGCCTTTCTTCCTAGGACACCGTTATCGGCCTGGAGGCCTTGACCCGCGTCTCGGCCGAGCTGTACAGCACGGAGGACATCCCTATGACTATCACGGTGTCCTATGACGACGTGAATGGCATCACACAGAGCAACTCTGTCTTCATAGACAAGTCCAGGGAGCTGCTTTTGCAGAAGATCCATATCCCTTACAAGGTAAGTCAATGTCCGTTCAAGTCGTGTACCAAATCACGTGGAGCATTTTTTTCTTTCTCTGTCTTTTGTCTATTTGTTCCTTTCTTTGTTTCTTGCTTTGTTTTTATTTTGTTATATGCGTTTCTTTCTTTTTATTTTTTTAAAAAGAATTTAGTGGAAGGCGGGGG